ACGCGTTCTTGCGAAGCCCAGCGCGTGCCGAGGCGTTACCGACCCGGCTGCGCAGCTGGAGCCGCCCCACCAAACCGCGCCGCGCGTTTGCAGCGCTGTTAGGAAGCAGGGACGGCACGGCCGGGATGCGCCGCCCGCGTCTCATTGCAGCCGGGCGGCGCGAGGCCTGGGAAAAAACCAAATTCTGCCGGAGAGATCGTGACGTGCCTTGCAGAGCCCAGGCCTAGCTCCTGAGGTTTGGCGCCTGGGTTGGATCGAGAAAGAAAATGCTGTCATCCTCAGTAGTTTCTGATCCTATTTTGGCTGAAAAAATCGTGCATTGAGATGTTTGCAATTAATTCCCCTCCTCCACAACCCTCAAGTCTTTCTTTTGCGGAAGAGAACACAACTGAAGCGCACACAATAAATCTTTCCTGCAGCAAAAACTTTAACATGCAAGAAAAAAAAAAGGAAAATGGAAAGCAAAAAAAGCACAAGAGAATGGAAAGTAAACAAGATGGGAAGATAAGATGACGTCTGTTACCAGAAAATAAAAAAAAGTCAGACAATAAAACAAGAAGAATTAGGTAGAGAGAGAGACATGACCCAACGTGAAAGAGGAAGCTGAAGAGACACAAGCTTTACGAGTCACTGAGCAACGATTTCCAAATTCACAGCATTTCCCACTGCCCAGAAAGCAGAGGCTCGGAGCCCACAACGAGGAGGCGGGTTTTTTGTCTCGGTGGGGGGGTGTGGGGTGGGAATTGCCATAATAAATTGAATTTAAAAAGCGATTCTCCTCCTCCTTAAACACAATAAGGCACCAAAAATGAAGGTGACCTAGAAGAGGCTTTCTCTCTCTCTCCTCCTCCCTTCTGCAAATTCTAAATGCCTAATATTAAGCATTAAGGTTAATATTAATATACAGGGGGTCCCGACGTTCCCGCAGCTGAAGCAGTCAAGGGATGAGAATCTATTTGCTTTCCAGCTCCTTTTGACACTAATGAACGTTCTGACAGGAGTTACGGTTCTTCCTCCATTCTTCTCCTGTTCAGTTTTCTTTCGCGTTACTTTTTCCTGCTCCTGATAGTTTTTACCAGAAACGATCTGTCGGTTGGGAAACTACGGGCAGAGCTAAAGCTGAACGCGGGCGAGGGAAGCGCCGCCACAGCAGCTTCACCTTTCCCGGCCCCCGAGGAAGGCTGCGTGATCCGTGCGGGGAAACGTACAACGCCGCTTTGCTTGCCCCGCGCAGGGACTACAAGATATAACCAGCTACCAGAAGCACACCCAGCCGCAGTAATTCGCCACCCCTGCCGGGACCACCGCGCGGCTGCGCTGATGAACCTCCGGGTACCCGACCCCAGCCCTCGGACAAGCGCTTCCGTTGCTCTGCAGGCACTCGGGACCCCAACTCCGCACTTCCAGCTCCAGGAGATCATCGCACGCTGATCAAGCCAGCGAGCGACCGCAGCTCCATCAGTAACAGGCCCCAGCGTTCCTTATACGCCACACACTTGCGTGCTTTACAATAACCCCGAAGACATAGGCAAGAGAAAACAAGATTCTTGGACAATCAAAGAGGTGCTGTGTTCTCCCTGAAGGATGTTCCCCTTTAAATGCAGCGCGCTAATCGCTTCCAGAAGCTGTGCCCCACATCGTGCTGCCTGTGTGTTTCGGAACGGTTCAGAACCGATGCCTGTTCCCGGACAAAGGCTCTGTGCCCGGTGCCGTTCCCAAAAAGAAGGGGTGGCATTGCTAAGGGGGCTCCGAACGGCTCCGAACAGCAGCGCGGAAGCTGCAGCCTCTAACAGGGCTTTAAGCGGGCAGCGTCGAGGGGGGGCTCTGACCCCTCACCGCTTTAGTGACTTTCCCACAGGCCCAGCGCTTAACACAGCGAGGGAGCAGCCATGTATCAGTCCCCGCTGAAACAGGAGCACCTAGCCCTCGTTCCTGCAGGAAAAACTCTTGAAGACATAATCTAAACATGTTTAAGTCACAGTTTTGAACACCGTGAAAACTAGAAGGTAAATAAGCACATCCAACCGACTCTGGTCTGCACTGTCTCAGGAGCCATCTCACAAATTCACATTGAAATACATCCCTGGGGAGACAAAAATCAGCGTTTCCAAGTTCTTGAAAGCTGGAGCGCTGGTACGGTAACGCAGATCCCCCACGCTAGCGTGATGAACAAAGGACACCTTCTTGAGCTGGGTTCAGAGGACAGGAGTTTGCGTTTGCCTACTCATCTAGTTTTAATTTCCTATTCTGTCACTTCCTCAAGCAAGAGCCTCTCCCAAGGGAAAAAACAAAACCAAAACAAAACCCTCTCTGCAAACCCGGGGGACGTGGTTTAGCAGAACCAACTCTGGCAGAATAAAGCACACAGGAACTAAATTGTACTATTACATGGTCCGCATTAACAATGCAGAAATGTTTTTGACAATAAAAAAGTATTTGGGTTAATGGTGGGGTGGGGTTTTTTTTTTCAGAATTTAGAGGACTTGGAGACCGGCCCTTTATGGGAAATGTGCTTTCCAACCGATGGAAAACACAGCAACGCGCCGAGAGCTCTGCTGGCAGACCTCGTGAGCTTTCTGTCCCGTTTCTTACCCATCCTTCCCAATTTTATTTTCTACTTTTTTAAATACTGTTCATCTGCTTAGGCACCCATTAGCGAAGCTGCCAAAGGGTTGCAAACCTTTTTCATTGCGGGCAATAAAATGTTCCCCCCCCCCAGTCTCTCAAACACAGAAGACATTTCGAGAGACCAAGTCTCCTGTCACCTACCGAGAACGTTTCCCCAGCTGCCTACGCGTTTCATCAGATCCGCCGACCCGCAGTATTTGTCTCAAACACCTCAGGGCTTGAAACTTCCTTCTGACACCTAATTCCATGCAAAGCTGTTCTCAGGCGGTAACACGCAAAAGGAGACTCTACTCCTACATGCCGCGTCGTCCGCGCAGCTGCTCAGGGTATGTTCTGCTCTATATATAGACACAAACTGCAATCACTTAAACGGGGACCTTTCACGCAAAAGCAAAGTTTTGTTCCACCCCCCAGTCCTCAAACACAGAAGACATTTCGAGAGACCAAGTCTCCTGTCACCTACCGAGAACGTTTCCCCAGCTGCCTACGCGTTTCATCAGATCCGCCGACCCGCAGTATTTGTCTCAAACACCTCAGGGCTTGAAACTTCCTTCTGACACCTAATTCCATGCAAAGCTGTTCTCAGGCGGTAACACGCAAAAGGAGACTCTACTCCTACATGCCGCGTCGTCCGCGCAGCTGCTCAGGGTATGTTCTGCTCTATATATAGACACAAACTGCAATCACTTAAACGGGGACCTTTCACGCAAAAGCAAAGTTTTGTTCCATACAAAAAAAACCCAAAGGGATGCTATCAACGTTTCGCTGGACAGTGCGGGCCGCTGAACTACCGGCGGCGGTGTCCCTTTTGAAAACCCTCTAAGGGCGCCGGGCAACGTCCGACGTGGCTGCCGACGAAACGACGCTGGCGAGCGCGTCAACTGCTTAACAGGCTCTCCTACCTTTCGCCGGGCCTCGAGCCAAGGCTTCGCGGGATGCAGCAGGCGCGCGGAGCAGGACCAGAGAGTCCCTTCCGGCCAGGAGCCCGTCTCCGCGCATGGCTCCCGGCTTCTCGCCCGCTCTCCAGGCGCTACCTGAAGAAGAACGAAAAGGCGCGGGTGAAGGCAGGCCACCCGCGGAGCTCC